GGGGTCAGGTGGTGTGCGGAAGGATGGGAGGTGTGAGGAGGTGTGAGGAGGTGTGAGAAAAAGTGTGAGGCGGGTGGGAAGGAGGAGCGAGTGTGAAAGAAGTGAGGAAGCGCGGGAGGTGTGAGGAGACGTGAGGCGGGAAGGGCGAGGTGTGAGGAGGTGTGAAGAGGAGAGAAGGGGGCCTCTGGGAGGCCGAAGCCTGGGTTTGGGTGTGATCCAGGCTGGAGTCGGCAGACTGCGGCAGGCTGTGGCCTTCTCTCACCCCCGCCCCTCCTCACGCCTCCTCACGCCTTCTCGAACTTCCCACACCCCCCCACACCTCCTCCCGCTTCCCGCCTCTTCCCGCTGGTGCTTCTTGGCCGACGTGGCTGCCTGGCTCTGTGTCTCTCCGGGGCGAGGCCAGCTCTTGCTTATTGTTCGCCGTCCTCGAGTCCCGTCATGGCACCGGTGTCCGGGGCCAGCCGGCGCTCTGGATCGGCCGACGTGCCTCGAACACCACCGTTCTGAAAGTCGACTGGCTTGGTTTTCTCTCTGGCCTCGTCCCTGAGCCTCTCACGTGGTTCACGGCTGCCTCCTGTACATTCTTGTGCCTCTGGCTTTGCGCTCCGCGTGGAGTGCCCAGGCCGTCAGCGGCGCCGTGGACTGTGGCGGCATGATGAATCTCTGGCAGCCTCCCCCAGAGCCTTCACCTCCTGCCAGTCGAGTTACTGCTGGTCAGTGGGAGCCAGTGCAGACCGACAGAGAGGGGCAGCCAGATAAGAGAGCCCGGACGGGGGGAGAGAAGTGAACCAGGAGGGTGAGCTCAAGTTCTGGACACGAGTTAATCTTTAGAATTCTTTAGAATAGCCAGTGAGTAGGAGAGTTCGGATTTTTTTTTTAAATTGGTTCAGATATTTGTTTCCTTTAATGAGGGTGAAAACTGCACTGAAGTTTTATATACACACACACACACACACACACACACACACAATTATATATATTAGCTATATAGATAATATCACCACATATATATTATTTTTGTTTCAAATGCCAAGAATTCAAATACAACCTTAGGGAGCTTAAGTTCAGGGATTAACTTGAAGGATTAAGGATGAGTTTCTAAGCACAGCTTGAACAGATCCGGCTGAATTCAAGATGTACCTGCCACAAATTATAAAGAGTGGTTAGAGCTTTAAAAAAAAAGCCATAGTCAGAGCTTTTATTTTGATGTTGTTAGCACTATAGCTTTGAGGTTAGGAAGATCAAAGTGACTTATTTAATATCAGACTGGATGCAGTGGCTCACGCCCGCAATCCCAGCACTTTGGGAGACTGAGGCAGGAGGATAGCTTGACGCCAGGAATTGGAGACCAGCCTGGGCACCTCCCACAGTTTCTATGCTTTCAACACCTTCCCACACTTCCTCACCCCCCCACACCTCCTCACCCTCCTCACACCTCCCATACCTCTCACCTCCCACACCTCCCACACCTTCTGCATCTCCTCCCAAGCAAGACCCTGTCTCTTAAAAAGTTTTCCAAGTTAGCTGGGTGTGGTGGTAGGTGCTTGTAATCCCAGCCATTCAGGAGGCTTGAGGCAGAAGAATCGCTTGAGTCTAGGGGTTTGAGGCTGCCAGTGAGCTGTGATTGTGCCACTGCACTCCAACCTGGGTGACAGAAAGGAAAAAAAAAAAAAAACCAGGTGCTTTTATCTGCGGGCGGTTTTTTTCCTCCAGGCAAGGATGTGGGCTTAACGATGAAATAAATGGATGAGGATTTGTGAGTTATTTTCATCTTTCTTTGCATAGGAGGGGGGACCCCAAAAACCTGGAATTTATTTATGCATTTATTCTTACATGTTTAAATGTCAGTTACCTTCAAAATACTCCCCATTTGACACAATACACCTATTGAGATTCCACTTCTCAGAACAGTTTCTGAGCTCATCAATTGTGATGTCTTTTAGTGCTGTTTTTTGTTTCACCTCTTTCACATCCGCCACACATTTCCCTTTGTGAACTTTTTTCATCCAGGGAAACAAAAAAGGTTGCTGGGTCAAGATCGGGTAAATAGGGCGGGCGGAACAGAGAGGCCATGCTGTTTTTGGTCAAAAACTGCCGAACACGCGGCTGTATGTGGGCAGGTGCACTCGTGAATCACTCATCATGAAATGCACAAGCATGCGGCAACAATCTCCAAAAAAAAATTCACTGAAGCCAAACACAGCCTCTCACAACAATGCTAGCTGGTACACCGATGCTGACGGGGGAACACTTGCCTAACGGGGGAAGCCTGTACTACAAGGATTCCGCCTTCCAAAAGATAAATCTGTGTTTATTTGGGTCCCCCCTTGTAAGGCATCCTTCCCTTTCAGAGCTAGAACGAAAAGCCCATGGGCTCTCTCATACTCAGTGCATTGCTTGATCACGACTGCATAACTTAGTCCTCTACTGGTGGCACATGACTGGGTGTCTGAGGCGGGGTGTGAGTGTGGACATGGGGGGCTCCATGTGGACGCCTGGCTCTCTGATCTGGGCTCTTAGCGCCACCCGCCGACTCTGTTCATTGGTCATCTGATTATTGTGATCACCTCTTTTAGTGTGTTTTAGATTAAGGATTGCAAAGCTATTCAGGGGCATCAGGTTAGACCATTTTGTTCGGTTAGATCAGCATTTCTCAAGAGGTCCTTGGGCTAGCTGTGTCAGAGTCATGTGAGAGCTTGCTAAAAATGCAGATTTCAAGGCATCACCCTAGACCCATGGATAGAAGTGTCTGAGGAGGAGGGCGGCTGGGGTTTGCATTTTTCACAAGTTCCCAAGGTGATTCTTCTGCACCTGTAAGTCCAAGGACCACGACTGAAGATCTGCAGAGATCGTCTTCTAAAGGGTTCCCAAAGGACAAGGGCTTCTCCTATGGTGCGTGTATTCTGGGAATTGGTCCCAGGGCTCACTGCTGTGGGTCCCCTTCTTGTGACATCAGCATCAGCAGTCACCTGGGATCCACCGGAGGATTTCCTGGTTTGCTTTCAGATCCGACAATAGCAAGCAGATTTCTCTCTGCTTCCTCCTCAGACAAGGGGGCAACTAGATCTAATGCCCCATGCTCCCCCCTCCGTGGTTCCCAGGGCTGTCCCCTCCCCTTCCTCCTCTCCGTCCTCCAGAACTGATGCTCATACCCTCCTCTCACCTTACTTCATTTCTTCTCCAGCAGTGTGTTTCTGTCCCTTAGACAGGTATTTGCAGGGCCTGAGCAAGTCCCGAGAGGAGTCCGGCGTGCAAAGCGAGCTGAGAGGGGGAGGGGGAGCGTGATGGAGATTGATGAGGGTGAGCAGAGCCTGGAGAGGGTGCGTGTTGGACATGGCAGGGTTCAGGGGACAGCACAGCCCAGGGCTGCAGGAGGAACGGCCTAGAGGCTGAGGGCATGTGCAGGAACTCCATGAAAACTGTGTTTTTGGAGGTAGCAAATGTGAGTCTTCTTTCTGTTTTCAGCTTTATTGAGGTATGGTTGGCAGGTAAAAATCTATTCCACGGGAACCCTTTAGAAGACCGTCTTTGCGGACCTTCAGTCGTGGTCCTTGGACTTACAGGCGCAGAAGAATCACCTTGGGCACTTGTGAAAAATGCAAACCCCAACCCCCTCCTCCTCAGACACTCCTACCCATGGGTCCATGGTGATGCCTTGGAATCTGCATGTTGGCAAGTTCTCACATGACTCTGACACAGCTATCTATTCCACGCGTGTAACACAACGTTTCGGTAGATGTATACATAGTGAGCCGATTCCCATGATCAAGCTCGTTAGCGTAGCCATCGCCTCACACAGCCTGCTCACCTTTCTTGTGGTGAGACCACATGAGGGCTGCTCTCTTAGCAGATCTCAAGTGTACAGTCCATACTGTGAACGCCAGGCCCCGCGCCGTACAGCAGACCCCAGGGCTTACTCAGCGGGGGTGAACCCCGAGGACATCCTGTTAAGTGCCGTGGGCCAGGCACAGAATGACAGCTAGACAAATGCAGCAGGGACGGGGAGATGTGGGTCAAAGAATCCAGACTCTTGGGACCTGGGAGTTCTGGTCCTAGGCAGATCATCCCGGAAGTGACGGTCTCTTTCCTCCACACCATTTCTCTCCTTCTCCCTGTGATGCCCCCACCTTAAGTACCAGGGATCAGGGATAGTGAGCACTCGAGCTCATTTGCTACTGCTCCCCTCAGTACCCCCGGTCCCCAGGCAGCCCCTCAAGACCCAAATCTCTGTGCACCTGCTGTGGCAATAGCAGCCACAGCCACAGGGGGGAGGGGATGGCAGCTTGAATAGGCCTACTTTCTTTATTTTTCAGTTTTTTTGTAGAGAAGGGTCTCGCTGCGTGGCTCAGGCTGGTCTCGACTGCCTGAGCTCGAGCGATCCTTCTGTCTCAGCCTTCCACGTGGATGGGACTACAGGCGTAAGGCACCACACTGACTGAGGAGGCCTGCTTTTTGTCTCTCCACTTTCTCAAAGGCTCCTCCAGGCTGTCCGTCACACCCACCAGGCTTGGACACTTTAGCAGTGGTGCAGGCTTCTGAAGAAAGAATCTGGAGAAATTTCAATCTGTGGTATTTCTCTGAGAGAAAACAGTCCAGTTTGATCCTTCCATTGTCCAAAGATGTTTTATTATTTTAAAGGTACTATACATTTTGAGGCCTGGGTAAACAGACGCTGACATTCGAACAACATTAATTTGGTGCCAGTGAAATTCTACTAAAGAAGGCGGGCTGTTAATCTCAAATTAGAATCTTAAGATGAGAGAGGTACTTGGCAGAGGTAGGCCAGTAATAGCCTTTACTTTTGTTTCCTTTTTAAAGCCATTTTAACCACATGCAGATCTTTCACTTTTAAAGTTGTATGCACAGGATAAAAAAGGGTTTGGCCTAACAAACATCCTCACAAAATGTGGGCATCTCAGTTTCTGAAAACATGCCCCCAGCGCCCGGGTGTGAAGGGAAGGGGGAATACTAAGTGATGCTGCCAGTGCGTTGGTGTCAGCATGCTGTACTCCACAACCTGCTGTGTTTTTCTGTCGTTGCAGGTGATTTTCAAAGCCAAGTCAAAATATTCTCCAGAATTACTCAAATACCGGTAAGTACCCAGGGCAGCTTTCTCCATGGCAGAGGGTGAAAGTGCTCCCACTCTAAGCCGTTGTGCCGTTGGGGTCTACACACCTTGCTTCCCTGGGAACTGTCCCAAACAGTCCCCACAAACATCCAGACTCATGGATCCATGCCCGTTGCAAAGTTACCATCATCTGCCACCCAGCTGCTTGCTGGGAATCCATTCGTGTCCAGCAGATAGAGTTCTGACCGTTCAGTACTCAGTTAGGCACCGTAAGAGGTAGAGTTGAGAGGTGTGCACTCTATTTGTAGAGATGTTTCAACACAAAAACCTGCAGAATCAGGCAAAGCAGCATCCGCAGCTTGCCGGTAGCGTGGGCCGTCTCCACCGCAGGCCACTGTGGCCTGGCATGCCCTCACTCTGCATCTGTGATCTTCACCTTGCATCACCTCAGCCAGAAACGCACTCGAAGCATGCCTTAAGGTTGAGGTGGGTGAAGAACATTCTGTTGGCTCTGATTTTATCTTGGAAATGACTGGCAGAGGCTGGGACGATCAGGTGCCTTCTGGAGATGGAATATAAAAGCACTGGTCAGAACGAGCATTGCTTAAAAAGTGTTCAAGCTCTGGGCACGGAAGTGGGGTCTTCAGGTGAGAAGAGGTGTGCATGGGGGCGGTCCTTGCTTATCCTTGAACCCAGGTACATCTTGGAGACAGGTTCTGCTGACATGTGCGCCTGTTTTTATGGGGAGGGACGGGAGTTGCAGAGATGTAGGGAGATTGAGAGAAATACAGTTAGATCCAGATGTTAAGACAGCTATTTGGGCCAGAGAAGGTGGGGAGTCCTTGAAGCAGGAGGGTGGGGCCTCCGTGGGAGAAGCCTGTTCACACTGACCTCATAATTTAACTGCCAAGCAGAAAGCAAACCCAGGAGTTACTCCTGTTCGGCACATCCTAGTCTCGTCCATAGAACTCCCCGTTTCTCTTAAGCAAGATGCCTCTAGAGACGTTTCAGGCCACGATTTATCCCCTGAGATGCTTTGTTACGTTGGCTTCTAAATAGATCGGCTCCCCCAACTGAATCATGACTCTCCCAAAATGAAATGTAAGCCATGAACTAGTTGAAACTTTCCGCCCCAAGCTATTCCGTTGCAATTTATGTTTCTGAAGATAATTTATATTCAACCCGGCCAAGGACCACTTTAGTTTTCACTGAAAAGTCCTCTTCTCCCTCACACGTCAGCTAGCTCGGCGTTCTGCTGGAGTGAGTGCCAGCTGATTCTGGTTTTCCCTTTCTCAGTCTATGTGTTTTAATCTCTCCAGCTTAGCAAATGTGAACACTGGACAGGGAAGTGCTCAAGAGTACTTGGATTTTAAACACTTTCAATTGTTTGCCCTCCAACTTTGATTTTTTTTAGTAAATGAAAAATTCAGTGATCCAGGCTTTGCTTTTCCTTTTCTTTAAGAAATCTGTGGTATTGGAAGACAAATTTAAACCATGCTTTATAATTCATTGCTTTCATCCCTTCACAGTAGGTGATGGTTGAAGCCAGGGGTTTGAGACCAGCTTGGGCAACATAGCGAGACCCCATCTCTACAAAAAAATTTAAAAACAGAGACTGGGCATGGTGGCTCATGCCTGTCATCCCAGCACTTTGAGAAGCCGAGGCAGGAGGATTGCTTGAGGCCAGGAGTTTGAGACCAGCCTGAGCAACATAGTGAGAACCTATCTCATTTGAAAAAAAATTTAAAAACATTAAAAAAAAAGGAGGTGGTGAAGTACTTGGGTGATTTGGCAGCCTGCATGTCCTGCCTCCTGTCCCTGAGAGGCTGCCTTGAAGACTTGTTTTGTCTCTGTACTTGCTGACCAGCGTGATGACCCCTTCTGGTCCCACAAGCAAAGTGGTCTTCCTAGATGCTGGGTCATGGTGACTTTCTTTGCCTCTGTCTTTTCTTTTGTTCTGCCAGGTTGAGCTATTTAAACTGACCCTGTGGTTTTGGTTGCAAAGAAGTAGTTTTTGGGCAGTGTACAAAACTCTGATTCTGTGGAAACATACTTTTTGGATGTGGCCTAGTCTGGTCCCCCTTCAAAGCTCTCTGTCCACATCTCCAGATCCGCCCCCCTTTCCTACCTCAGCTACAGGCCTGTGGGGAAAAGCTGAGTTTTGCAAGATAATTTTTCATTATAAAAGTGATACAAGCTTATTAGGAAAAAATTACAAAGTAGAACAAAAAAAATAGAAATGTTGTGAATATAGACATGTGGAAAGAAATAAAACAGATTTACTGAATTCCCTCTCCCCCCATGTAAACTCCCTCTGATGCTGAGGGAACACAAGGGTGTATTCCACTGTAGGGTTTTATACATTTCCAGGGCAAAGTTGATGTTTCTATTACATTTCCAATTTTGCATCCTGACTTTAACTCAATTTAGATCATACGTATTTTTTTTCCGTGTGTGTGTGTGTATGTGTATTTTTTTGAGATGGAGTCTTACTTTTGTCGTCCAGACTTGAGGAGTGCATTGGCATGCTCATGGCTGCCACAGCCTCAATCTGCTGGGCTTAGGCAATCCTGCCTCAGCCTTCCCAGTAGCTGGAACTACAGACACATGCCACCTGGCTAGTTTTTTTGTGTGATTTATTGTAGAGATGAGGTCTCACCAAGTTGCCCAGGCTGGTCTCGAACCCCGGGACTCAGGCAATCCTCTCACCTCGGCCTCCCAAAGTGCTGGGATTCTGGCTGAGCCACTGCGCCTGGCCTGTATATATATATTTAAGTCAGGGTCTCACTCTGTCAACTCAGACTGGAGTTCAGTGACACTATCATGGCTTACTGCAGCCTCAATTTCCTGGGCTCAGGAGATCCTTCTGCCTCAGCCTCCTGAGTAGCTGGGACTACAGGCGTGCACCACCACGCCTAGCTAATTTTTAAAGATTTTTTTTCAGCCAGGCTGAACAGGTCAAGGCCACGGTGAGTCAGGATCATGCCACTGCCCTCCAGCCTGGGCGACAGTGTGAGACTCTGACTCAAAAAAAAAAAGAGAAAAGAATTGGAACTGAAAAAAGCAGAAAGCAAATGAATGAATAAGAGGAAAATTGTTTCTCAACTTCTCATGGGGGTTCTGTAGAAGTATCACCCATGAAGAAGAAAATTTAACTATACAAACAAATCCTCGTCTTCTTCACTTCACTGTGAATACTCTCCTGATCAAAAAGAAAATAATAAAAATAAAAAAAAATTTAGAGATGAGGTCTCGCCGTGTTGCCCACCATATTATTTTAAATCTCCCACCACAGCCCCCTTCTTTAAGATAATAGGAGACTTTTGTTTGGCGGGTTCAACAAAGCCCCCTAAAGGCTCAGAGAATAGGACTTCATAGATAGAAATCAAGGGGGAGGAGGGGTACAGGCAGGAAAATCAGCTGGCGGAAGGACAGAGAGGTAGAGACACATGAACTGGCTGGGAACCTCCAGTAAGCCGGCTTACCTAGGGTGTCTGTAGGTCACTCCGCCGGTGACATACCCGGTGTTGAAGGACCGAGGCTGGGCTCTGGGGCAGAGGGGAATCAGCAGCCTCGAAGTTAGTTCCGGCTGGAGGCATGAGTGGGAGTATCCAGGCTGACAGGAGGCCCAGGGAGAGTGAGAACGAAGCACCCGTGACCCTGGCCGTGGATGATGCGGGCAGCAGAATCGAAGACGACCCTGGCCGTTTCGAAATCTGCAAAAAACGATGGTGCTTTTAACAGAAATAGGAACCCTTAGAGGCATGTTAGGGGGGGAGCACTGGGAATTGAGTCTGGGACATGCGGGCTGGAGGGGACAGGGCCTCCAAAGGCCAGGCTGTTAGGGGTAAAGCTGGAGCTGAGGGCCAGGGTATGGCTCGAGACCGGAGATTTTTTTGTTTTGTTTTGTTTTTTTGAGTTGGAGTCTCACTCTGTCGCCCAGACTGGAGTGCAGTGGCCGCTCCCGGCCACCGCAGCCTCGACCTGCTGGGCTTCGGCGATCCTTCTGCCTCTGCCTTCTGAGTAGCCGGAATTACAGGCACGCGCTACCACGCCTGGCTGATTTTTTGATTTATTGTAGAGATGAGGTCTTGCCAAGTTGCCCAGACGGGTCTTGAACCCGTGGGCTCAGGCAGTCCACTCACCTCAGCCTCCCAAAGGCGCGGGGTTACAGGCTGAGCCACCGAGCCCAGCTAGACCAGAGATTTTTGAACTTGGTTGCATCAAAGTTGTTGAAGCTGAAAGAGTGAGCACCTTTCCTGAAGAAGAGTGTGGAGGAGAGAGCCCAGGGCATCCTCCCTTTGGAGAAGAACAGGAGAAAGAGGCACTGGGGGCTGTCCAGGGACGGGCCCAGACAGAGGAAAGTGAGGAGAGCAGGGGAGCCTCGGGAGGGTTGGAGGAATGGAGGCTGAGGGAGGCCTTTGAGGCTCGGGAGGCCGTGCCTGGGAGAAGGTGGGGCCCGGCAGGTCCCAATTCATGCGGGCTGTGCACAAGTACCAGTAGCGGAAGTGACCACGAGGGGCGGCGAGAACTTGTTCTAGAAGAAAGGAAAGGCTAGGGCCAGACGTGGAGGCACTGAACCAGAGGCGAAAACGGAGGGGAAGACACTCTGAATTCTCAGAAGAGCTCTTGGAGGCAAGGACAGAGTCCTAGCTCCACTGCAGAGATGAAGAAGCCGTAGTCCAGAGTGGCCTCAATTCTGGCACGATGTCGCAGATCCGCTGGCTCCCACCCCTGCCTTCTCTGTGTCATGCTGGACAGAGGAGGGAAAGGTGAGGGAAGGCGGGGTGGAGGGAGGCTGATGGCCGCGGTGTGGAAAGCCCAGGAGGGACAGGAAACTACAGCACTGCCAGCTGAGAGGCCACACTGACGGGGTGGCGGTGGCCTTCCGAGGCCTTTATGCCTGTGGTGCTTTGCTTTTTTTTTTTTTTTGAGTTGGAGTCTCACTCGGTCACCCAGACTGGAGTGCAGTGGCCACTCCCGGCCTTGCAGCCTCAACCTGCTGGGCTTCGGCCGGAATTACAGGCATGCGCTACCATGCCCGGGTGATTTTTTGTAGAGATGAGGTCTCGCTGCCCGCGGGTCTCGCTGCCCGCGGGCTCAGGCAATCCACTCACCTCAGCCTCCCAAAGGCGCGGGATTACAGGCTGAGCCACCAAGCCCGGCTCTTGTGGTGCTTTGTGACATCCTCTAGCGGTTGTGCATTGCTTTTATAATAAAGAAGAATAAGGATTTTCATTCACCGTGTAATTGTGCAGTTGACCTATGAAACAATACAGGGGATGGGGTGCCAACCCCATCACTCCGTTGAAAGCCCTCGTATAATTTTGACCCCCCCGCAAACTTTACTGATAGCCTACTGTTGACCAGAAGACTTACCGATTAGTAAACAGTTGAGGAACACGTGTTTTGTATGTTATTTGTATTATAGATGTATTCTCACAATAAAGTGAGCGAGATAAAATGTTATTAAAATCATAAAGAAAATACATTTTCTGTTCATTAAGTGGGAACAGATCATGGTGAAGGTCACCGTCCTTGTCTTCACATTGAGTAGCCGAGGAGGAGGAAGAGGAGGGGTCTGTCTTGCTGTCTTGGGGTGGCGAGGAGGGAGAAAACCCATGTAGAAGTAGACCTGCACTGTTCAAACCCATGTTATTCAAGGGCCAACTGTATTTCCAGCAACACCCACGAGGAATCATCTAGAAGAGATAAATGGCTGCGCTGTGCTTTCTGCAGAGGCTCGCCTGCCCTTGGGTGGAATGTGTGTGTACACTAGCAAGGGTCCAGAAACACTTGGGCTGCTGCCTGCAGGTTCTGGATTTTTCCAGTAGTGCTCTTCACAGAAGCACACTCGATAGCAATTAAACAGTCAAAACAGGACTTCTGAGAATCCAGGATGCAAATTTTTGGTGACTCCTAAATGGCACTGCCTTTGTCTCCCTCTCCAGGGCCTGTGCTTCCCCTGCCACTAATGAGAACATGGCAGAACAGGTGAAAAACTTAACTGCTTCCCCAAAGCCCCACAGGCATTAATTATTTATCTGGGCCTCCCAGGGGCCCCATGAGACAATCCTGGAGCACCTTGTGCTCTTGGGAGGAGGAGGAAGTGGCAGCCTGACCTGGTTGGGTGACTTGCGCAAGCCTGCACACAAATTTCACAGTTCCCTGAATCAGACCCTCCACAGACCCCAAGGCCCACCGTGGGCTTTTCAGCAGGTCTCAAGAGGAGAAGAAACTTCCCCGGGCTCAGTGTCCAATGTTCCGTGTGGCAAGATGATCCTTCCCGTAGAAACATGCAAAGGGTGTGTTGCAGAATCAAAGGATAGGGCAGGGCCATCGGCATTTAGCAGGCACCAGGGATAGCATTTTGGGACTGGGGACACCGGAGGATGGGGCTGCCCCTTCTGTGCCCACAGTCTAGTTGGGGAGATGCTTGTGGCACAGAGGGAACAGCAGGCCCGAGACATGAGGAGAAAGTGAGGTGAACGTGAGAGACCTTAGCTAAGATCAGGGCCTAGAAAAGAATCTGTCCTTGGTTTGTCATTCATGTTTCTTTTTTTTTGAGTTGGAGTCTCACTCAGTTGCCCAGACTGGAGTGCAGTGGCCGCTCCCGGCCACCGCAGCCTCGAGCCGCTGGGCTCCGGCGATCCTTCTGCCTCAGCCTTCCAAGTAGCCAGAACTACAGGGGCGCACTACCACGCCCGGCTCTTTTTTGATTTATGGTAGAGATGAGGTCTCGCCAAGTTGCCCAGGCGGGTCTCGAACCCGTGGGCTCAGGCAATCCACTCATCTCAGCCTCCCAAAGTGCAGGATTACAGCCTGAGCCACCGAACCCGGCTGTCATGTTTCTTTTTCCAAAACGAACTTATCTGTGCAGGAAAAGGTTTGAATGCATCATGACACAAGACGTCGAATCTCCAAGACTTCACAGCGCTGCTCACCACCACCCGCGTGACACAACTTTTCATGCACAAACATGTTCCTGCAACCTGTGGTGGTGGCGGCAGGTAGTGTCTCTGACCATGCCTGTGTCCAGAGCCCCCAAGTCCGCAGCTCATACCCAAACGTAGTCACATCCGCTGCTCCTCTGTTTATCAGCCTCCAGCGTCCCCAGCTTCTTTTGTCCACTGGAGCCCTTCAGTGTCCTCTCCCACCCCTGTCTGCCTCCCTCGCGTGTCCCTGGCCTGCGTCCACGTGCCTCTTCCTGTGTGTCCAACTCTCATCCCTGTGGCCCATGTCCCTCCCTCCCGGGCACTGTATCCTGGCACTTTATCGCCTTCCCAAGCTGCCAGGCCTGAGGCACTGTGGTCCTTTCTCCTTCCTGGAAAGATATGACTCCTGCCCTCAGGTCGCTTCCCCACCCTCCGAGGAAGACCTCACAGCTGCAGTGCTGGAGCCTTGGCGGGAAGGAAGAGGGCAACCCTCGCTCGCTCACATAGCTAAGGGAATGCTTTTCCCATGGCTCCTTCCTCCCTCTCCCACGCATTCACTGAGTGCCTGCACCCGAGGGTGGACAGAATGGGAGCGGCAGCGGCCTGAATCTCCTTCATGGGACTCACCGTCTAGGTAGAAGCAGATCCGATTGCCGTGGTGATAACTGTTTTGTTATACGCCGGGATTCGTCTGTGACGTTAAGTAAGGGGACTGGGAGAGCAGGTGTCAGAGAAACCTGAATGTGTGTGTGCAGGTGTGTGTGGGGGGAGGATGCAGGGAAAAGCCTCTTCACGGCAGTGCAGCCTGAGCTAAGATCTGGAGGGTGAGCAGGACAGGTAGGCCAAGCTCCTCTGGGGGAGCGTGGGTTCTGAAAGTTGTGGGAGAGACTTGGCCAGTGGAGAGTGAATTATTAATTGCAAGACATAAAACCTCATTCAAATTAGCCCGAGTAAGTGCGGGGCCATTGTCTCACTCTGGCGTCTGAGGGCAGGAAACGTGTAGCTGGACCTTGGCCCGGGCGGGCTGGAACCAAGGTTGCTTTGCCTCTCTCTCTGTCTCTAGCTCTGGCTCCCTCTCTGTCTCTTCCTCTCTGTCTCTGTCTCTCTTCACCCCTCTGTATCTCTCCCTCCATTCCCCTGCTTTCGCCCCCTTTGTCAGTGGCATGTCAGGCTTCCCGTGTCCCAATCTAGGATGGCTTTTGAAGACATCAGCATCACTCTTGAACCTCAAGACAACTTTCAGTTGATAGTTTTCTGCTCTCAGCTTGTGCTGCAAACATATTCAACTTAAACACGTCTATTTTTGAGTCAAACACAGCTGTTCCTTATCTGCACGTCTACTGGATGTGTCTACCTGAAGCAACTGTAATATGGACAGTCATGAAGAGAAATCGAGGCTCCTGATTTTAATGTTAATATATCTGAGAAGTCTTTTATTTATTTGTATTGTTCTTGTCTAGAGAAATATAGACCCAGTGAGGCAAACCTAATGAGACGTCTATACATAGACTTTACATAGGTCTTAGGAAGTGCATAGCTCTGAGAGACAGTGGGCTAAACATGGCCAATGAACTAGACAGTTTGTATCCATTGAGCCTTGGGCAGTTGCTGTGGCAGATTTTTAATCCCAGCAACGGCTTAATCCAGTGGTAAGCGCTCCTCAGACTCCACTTCATTGATGACTATCTTTGGGGTAAAATGTATTATACAAATACATGTCCAAGAGGATGCCTCAGAAAAACCAGCATTATTTTTGAAGGGCAGGCCATTGTAGGACAGACTTCCCTGCTAGGTAAGAGTTCTAGGAACCTGTTGGCTTCAGTGTACCAGCTAGTGTCGTCGTGAGAGGCTGTGTTCAGCTTCAGTGAAATTGTTTTGGAGATTCTTTCAGTGCATTTGCACGTTTCATGATGGGCGATTTAGGAGTGCACCTGCCCACACCAAGCTGAGTGTTCAGCAGTTTTGATCAAGATTGGCATAACCCCCACGCCCCACCCTCCCTAATCACCTGACTCACCCCAAGCGACTTTTTTTCGTTTTCCCGGGTGAAAGACATCTTTAAAGGGAAAGTTTTGCCGACGTGGAAGCGATGAAACAAAAAACAGCAGGATCAAGGCATCAAAATGGAAGAGTTCAGAACCATTGTGAGCAGCGGAAAAAGCACCTGTTGATACGCGTATTGCATCCAACAGAGAGTGTATGTTGAAGGTGACCGAAGTTTGAACATGGGAGAATAAATACACAATCTTTTATAAATAAATCCGATTTTTTTGGGGGGGGTCCTTCCTCATATGACCCAAATGCCTTATCTCACCTGATGCTCACACGTAGCCTATCAGGTGGGTATTGTTTAGTCTTATTTTCAGGTGATGAAACAAAAGCTCAAAGAGGTTGCATTTTGCCCAAGTTGCAGTCTGCCAATGCAGGTCGTCAGAAACGTTCCTGAGGCCCTTCCTCGGAGCTCTGCTCTCCACTCAGTATGTCACAGGGAGGAGGAGGCGTCCCTGGAGTGCCCGCGCCACCCAGCACCCGTGAGCCTGTAGAGGGTGGAAGTGGGTGCAGAGAGGAGGGACCATCCCGAGGCACGATTTGGGGTCAGTTTGTAATTAGACTCCAGCAACGGCTACCACCAAAGTCCAGGCTCTTACGTGCTGTCACCTCTGTGCTCCTAGCAGGTCCCCAGACACACACAGTCTCCTTCAGAGATGACCCAGGAGGTGCAGCCAGCTGGGCAGGGGCGGTGCCTTCAGTGTCTTGCCCCTCCTTTCCAGGTTGCCCCTCTACCTGGCCTCGCTCCTCATCAGCCTCATTTTCCTGCTGGTAAATTTAACCTGTGCCGTGCTGGTGAAGACAGGAAACTGGGAGAGGAAGGTTATCGTGTCCGTGCGCGTGGCCATCAACGACACGCTCTTCGTGCTGTGTGCCGTCTCCCTCTCCGTCTGTCTCTACAAGATCTCCAAGATGTCCTTAGCCAACATTTACCTGGAGTCTAAGGTAGGCTGGACATGCGGTCAAGATCCCTCCCTGGAAAGTTGCTCCAAAAATAGTTGCCTGGTTGGCAAACGGCACACAGCAAACTTCTTTGGCACCCACCCTCCTACCAATGATGAGCCATGCTGTGGTGGCCAAAACACAGCAGTGTGGCATTCATTTAACTCTGCATGCAAAGAGAGTTCCAGTCCTGGTGGCTTCGAGTGTGTTGGTGTGTGCAGAATTCCTGGCAGGGAGTTAAGCCTCTGGTAGATACAGAGATTTAAAGAACTGTGTCTTAAAGGACTAGTGGAATTGATTGTACTGGTGACACTAATAGCAAACTCATAGATAGTGTGGACTGTGTTCCAGGTACTTTTATAAGCACTTGTTGTGCTGATGTGGAAACTCAGATTCCAACTGAGTTGCAGCCGCCTCTGGAGTTCAGGACATTCCTTCCCTATCAGTTGTCCAGAGATGGAGCCAAGTGTGATGCTGCAGGGAAGCTTCTGGCCTGTTCTTTTCCTCTCTGGCCATACCTCTCAGCCTACAATCTCCATTTTTTCCTCCCTTTTCCCCAGAGTTACAAAAAAGAGCAACTATGCAAATATGCTATAGTACCAAAGCGCTTCTTTTTTTGGTTTTTTTTTTTGAGTTGAAATCTCATTCTGCCACCCAGCCTGGAGTGCAGTGATGCGACCATAGATCATTGTAGCCTCAGCCTCCTGGGTTCACGCCATCCTCCTGCTTTAGATTTCTGAATAGCTGAGACTACAGGTGCACGCCACCATGCCCAGCTAATTTTTAATGTTTTTTTTTTTTTTTTGAGTCAGAATCTTCTTACTCTGTCACCCAGACTGGACTGCAGTGACACAATCACCTCACTACAGTTTCAACATACTGGACTCAGGCGATCCTCTCTCCTCAGCCTCCCAGGTAGCTGGGACTACAGGCATGCACTACCACACCTGGCTAATTTTAAACTTTCTTGTAGAGTTGGGGTTCTTTCTGTGTTGCCCAGGCTGGTCTCAAATTTCTGGCCTCCAGCCATCCCCCCACCTCAGCCTCCCAAAGTGCTGGGATTACATGTGTGAGCCACCACACTCAGCCTTACATTTTTAAATAGAGATGAGTTCTCCCTATGTTGCCTAGGCCGATCTGCTGGATCTCCCAAGTCTCCCTTCATTGACAGAATCTCTTAAGTAGGGCCCTGGGAGTAGCTGCCTGGGCTCTTTCTGGCTGGGGGACAGCACCCCCTAGTCTCTTTGCCTCTCTGTACCTTGGTTTTCTCACTTGCGAAGTGCTCGAGTGACTTCTCCAGCTCCTCAGCTTCTACCATCCATATGACTGTGTCCTGTCATAGCCTCTTGCCCACCTTCTTTGCCAGGAGGCCATATGCCTTTGGTCTGAAGGTTCTGGGCAGCAGTGTCTTTCTACAGTATTGTGTCTTCAGTGGTGATCAGTCATTAGAGTGTGGCTACGACTTCAAAAATAGAAAGCCTTAATCAAGGCATCCGAGGACTTAGCTGAACTCTTGGAAATCCCGAAAGTTCATTTTGGGGGCAAATTTTAGACTTGATTTTGCCTCAACTTTCTCTGTTTTGTTGTCTCCCAAAAAGAGGCTATTTTTGATAACAGGGGCTCTCCAAGGCTTTTAAAAACAGAACTGCAGTTCTTAAGAGAAGAGTTAAACAGTAGGTTGTAAAAATACCATCGAGCTCACCCCTATGGCACACAGGCTAACCAAGCACTACTGACAAAAAGAAAAAAAGTATCTTTGATTTAGCTAATGACCTTCAAATGCTAAACTCAAAGATTAGTTTTAGTTTTTTGGCTGACTATCCATTTGGGCCTAGGGGTCCCTTAACTGACTTTGGGAATGGGTAGCTTCATAGGGTAGGGCATGAACCACTGATTGTCATATGATTCCAAGGCCAGAGCCACATCAGGACACCTGTATTCCCAGGAGGGCAGATCCTGGTTTTGAGGAAGGGCTCGCTGCTCTGAGCTCTCCCCAGCCACTATCCCTCTGAGATGGTTTGCTCGTCCTTGTGAGCCAGAGGCTCTGGGCTGGGTGCACCTACTGTGTGGATAAGTCGAGAGAGTCCTCTTGGAGTGGAGCAGGGGCAGTTAGAGATTTCACAGAACAACTTCTGACTTCCATGCTCTTGCAGTCTAGGCCTTGGGCACATGGCCCATGCTTAAGCCACACAGAGATTCTGTCAATGAAAGGAGACTTGGGAGATCCAGCAGATGTAACCTCAAGCCAACTCCCAGAGTCTAAATGAAGATGACTTGAAATTTGGGGAAGGAGTAGGGAAGAGGTGAGGTCTGGAGTGAGGTTCAAGCCCCGAGAGCAGAGGGCTCCGACAGAAGACCCAATGAGACTGCAGCACCTCTGAGGTCCCCAAGGCCGTACTGGGTCCAACACCAGGTAGCAGATGAAAAAAGGGCCCGGTGCCCTGGACCTGGAACCCACCCCTCCTGCTGCCTCTTTTCCAGGGCTCCTCCGTGTGTCAAGTGACTGCCGTCGGTGTCACCGTGATCCTTCTTTACACCTCTCGGGCCTGCTACAACCTGTTCATCTTATCATTTTCTCAGAGCAAGAACGTCCACTCCTTTGATTACGACTGGTACAATGTGTCAGACCAGGTCAGTGGGGATACTGAGGGGATGACTCCCCGACAGGGACTAGAGGGGCACTTGGTGTCTGTGGGGGATGGGTTCTGGGACTCCTGCGGATACAAAAATCCACCATGCTCAAGTCCCTGATGTCAAATGGGGTCATGTTTGCATATAACCTATGCACTTCTCACACCTGCTTTAAATCATCTCTCGATTACTCATAATACCTAATACCATGTGAACGCTAAGTAAATAGTTGCTATACTATATTTTTTATTTTTGTGTGTTGTTATTTCCTATTTTTGAATTTTTTTTTGAGTTGGGGATCTCACTCTGTCGCTCATGCTGGACTGCAATGGCACAAGCATGGCTCACTATAGCCTTTCCCTCCTTGACTCAGGCAATCCTTCCACCTGAGCCTCCCAAGCAGCTGGGACTCCAGGCATGCACCATCACAACTGACTAAATTTTTTAAATCTTTTTTTGTAGAGACAGGCTCTTGCTATGTTGCCCAGGCTGTCCTAAACTCCTGGGCTCAAGCAATCCTCCCGCCTCGGCCTCCCAAACTGCTGTGATTACAGGTGTGAGCCACTATACCCAGCCTGTTTTTTAATATTTTCAGTCTGTAGTTGGTGAGGATGCAAAACCTGTGGATATGGAGGCTGACTGTATCTGCTTTTCAGCATTCCATGTGGCAGGAGGTATAAATTCCTTGTTTCTGCTGTTGAATGCCTGGGTGACCTTGAGAGAGTCACTTCCCTGTGTGGTGTCTGTATCCTTACCGCTCAAATGGTGTCATAGCAACTGGCTTGTTCCCGGTCACATGTCTTCTGAGAAAACTAGATTGTGTGTATGTGCTGACACATACATATGCACACACAAACATGTGCACACATAAGTATACTTAAAAGTACACACATTATGCACACATGTACATATGTATGAGCATGTATACTTTTTTCTTTTTGAGTTGGAGTTGGAGTCTCACTCTGTTGCCCAGACTGGAGTGCAGTGACCGCTCCCAGCCACCACAGCCTCGACCTGCTGGGCTCCGGCGATCCTTCTGCCTCAGCCTTCCAAGTAGCTGAAACTGCAGGCGCGCGCTACCACGCCCGGCTAATTTTTGATTTATTGTAGAGATGAGGTCTTGCCAAGTTGCCCAGGCGGGTCTCGAACCTGCGGGCTCAGGCAATTCACTTACCTCAGCCTCCCAAAGGCACGGGATTACAGGCTGAGCCACCAAGTCCGGCTAGCATGTATACTTATGTATACGCACTCCTTTCTACCTCATGGAGCTCTTATCAAGCAGTACTCCATTTTTTTCAAGAGCTTCTTATATAAATAGAAGATGGTAGTATTAGAGGACGAAATTTGCAAAGATAAAAAAATTGTATTCAGGTTTCGGAAAATAGATAAAACTACAAAGTTATGAGAATTTTTATAATGCTTAAATGACAGATATTTACATAGCATTCACATTGTACTAGGCATTAAAATTTTCACAGCATTTGAGAAAATCTGGACAGAAGTCACTGAGGATATTAAGGTTTTAGTAAAAGCTTGTTGCACCAGTTGTCTCAATGTGATACTCTTTTAAAAAAATATGTTCTGTAATTTCATAAATTATCCTTTGTAAAGCAAATGAACAAAGGCAGTAAAATGTCATCTGGCATCCAGGCTCACAGGAACTCAAAATAAAAAAGAATGAGGCTGAGCTGGTGACACATATGGGCTTTTTTGTCTTAGGTGCTGTGCAAAGTGTTGGGATACAAAAATAAACCGATTCCCTCCCTGCCCTGTGAGAGCTGGTAGTTCCCCCGAGGAAAAGAGCCACGAAGATAAGCCATTAGCAATAAGGAGCCAACTTCCCTAACAGGAATCTGTTGGATTGATTTGCAGGGTTCCTTAGCTTTTCCTGAAAAAATATCGAATACCTAACTATATATAAACCCACTTCTAAAGTCTCAACTGTACTCCAAACCTGAGCTGAATTAAGACCGTGGAAGAAAGACTAAAATGACCATGACAAATTCACCCTGTGAGGGCAAGGTGACATTCACAAGAGGGACCTGCAGGGTATTATAATTACAAAGGATTAAAACAACAACGGTAACCCCTGACCCAAACCAACACCCCAGATACAGGATGACACCCCGACCCAAGCCAACACCCCAGATACAGGATGACAGAAAGTAGAGCAAGACCTCGTGTACCTTGTGTTTTGAGAAAAACAGATACATACAAATAATACGTAAATTTGAAGCAGGGGTAGATTAGAGACTTATTCATAGCGCACAAAGGAGTCGGTCTTTGATTGTAGTAAAATACACACAACACTGGCTATTTTAACCATCCTTAAGTGTGCAGTTCAGTGGCATTAAATGCAGTCACGTTGCAGTGCAAATCATCACCACTGTTCATCTCTAGAATGTTTTAATCCTCCCAAACTAAAACTCTGTATGCATTCCACAGCAGAGATTTGATTTTAACAAAACAATTACGGCGGGTTTAAAATATGATTATGCTTTTAAAAATTCTTTTGTTTTTAGGGGATCTTTATTTGTGACTTTCTAGACTTGTGTATTGCCACCAAAATAATCTAGGAGCAGGCGAAACAAATGGCCACAGTTGCACACGTTATTCGTGCAGGGCAGAAGAAGAACAGAAGGTTGAGGCGTGATACAGATGAAGGTGAAATATGATGCTGGAGAGACTCCTTCTGAAGTAGCATGAGTAGTTTTGGTTACTGTGCTTTGAATGTGATGTCATGGAGACAGCAAAATGATTCCGTTTAGGTGATTGGCCCTTGAAGGCTTGAACTCAGCACTCTTCTCTTTCTTTGAAACTATGGCCTTGTCCATGGAGTTGCCCAAACCCAGTCGTGCCCTGTTTTGAAGGGAGATGGAGAGCACTGCTTCACTTAAGCCCTTCACTGAAGCCCTGTCTCACTGGACCAGAAACTGAACACCCTGGACTCAGGATTTGTTTTTAGACAAGTATTTGCTTTGTCTATAAAGCAATACGCTTTAAAGGGTAAAGCTTTCTTCAGTAAGCTTTAAAGAGTAAAGAACAGGATATGGCTTATGTGAAGAAAAGTTTCACAATGGATGTGTTTATCTTAGGGCTGAGACTAAGGGATAAGGGTCACACGCTGCTCTCAAGAATTCAGGAAGAGGCAACAGAATGTTCCTACTAATCGGCTGCTAAAGAAGAAAATCAGTGGGAGTTAACTTGGACATAAGCAAGCATCTTGGGCGAAGTATTAAAACATCAGAGATTGGAAGTTTTCGTCTTTGAATGTTCTGAAGAAGATACTCATCTCTCCTGTATAGTTTCAATACCCCTCACCTGAGGTCTGCACATGACTATGACCTGATTTCAGGGTGCCCATTTTAGACAGGAAGTGTGCTGTAGTATTAGAAAGAACCAATAAAATGTCTTTTCTCCGCCCTTGGCCTAGTGACGCTCCCTCTCTCCCTAACAGGCCGATCTGAAGAATCAACTGGGGGATGCCGGATACGTCCTCTTTGGAGTGGTGCTTTTTGTGTGGGAACTCTTACCCACCACCTTAGTCGTTTACTTCTTCCGAGTCAGAAATCCTACAAAGGACCTGGTAAGTAACTCATTTTATATGTACAGAGCATGTCTCCTAATTCTGAGCATGAAACGTACAATTAGAACTTTTGCTTAGTTTTTCAATAGAGAAGAGAGCCTCTTCCATCTTACTGTGATAGAAAAAAGTTTCTGTGACCATTTTATTGAGACTCTCATTTATTTCTCTTTTGAGGGAAAATGTATTTTTCAGCTTAGCTTTATTTAAAAAAAAAAAAAAAAGTATGGTGCCTCTCAGTGCCTGTGGAAAGTGATCCCTTTTCTTAATGCAACACAGGCTCCCTAGTACTTGAGCCTTGATTTGCTGTGAACCAAATAGAAAAGCTTTTCTTTTAGCAAAGGGAAATAGAGAAGAAGGGCATTTCACTTCTTCACCCCTGCAGCAGGCCAGATGGTGATGAGGGAATGGGAGGATAGAGAAATAAAAACATTGTTGTAAGGAATGCTATAAAACCACTCCCCTAGTTGGGACACATTTCTATTCAATCAACTTTATATAAATGTCTTCATGAGAGCAGGACAGAAAATGCAAAACCAGGTAGAGTGAGAAGCCTCCTTGCTTCCGAAGTTATTGAAACCACACGGTAGCTTTTTGACTCACTGATGTATGAAACCCATAAAAACGTTTAGGGAGTGGGTCTGGGGCAGCGTGAGCAGAGTGGGTGGTAGAGAGCACATTAGACAGGTGACATTCACAAATAATTCCCAGATATTAATTTATACCCAGATGATAACCGACCTGTTGTTTTGTTGTGTGTTGTGTTTTCTGTTTTGTTTTGTTTTTCTGAGTCAGGGTCTGACTACACTGCTAGAGTGCAGTGACGTGATCACAGCTCATTGCAGACTCAACTTCGTAGGCTCAGGTGATCATTCTACTGCAGTTTCCTGAGTAGCTGGTACTACAGGCACGTGCCACCATGCCCGGCTAATATTGTTATTTTTTTGGTAGAAACGAGGTGTTGTCTCAGGCTGGTCTCAAACTCCTGGGCTCAAGTAATCCTTCTGCCTCAGCCTCCCAATGTGCTGGAATTACAGTCATGAGCCCCCATGCACAGCCTGATCCCAGTCTTTCTTATTCATCCACAGGTAGTCACACATGAGCCAGGCATAAAACAAAGTGAGACTAGGCTGAGACAGGTGGTTAAGCACAGTCTTGTTGATGGGCCCGTGAGTAGAAAAAAGTGGTGGCCCAGGTTGCACCCAGGATGAAATCCAGCAATGATTTCGAGAGGCCGGACTGGGTTCCTCCCTGGGTGTTATTTTCAGCTGCAGAAGAGTGGTTCTGCACTGTCTCCTACCTGGGCCTGCCCTGGGACCCTCGGAGGCTTCTGTAAAGTCAGGCCCTGAACGCCTGCTCCTCCCGCAAAGGAACTTGCGAAAGGCAAGCAGCGGATTCTAGGCTGATCCCAGTTGCCTTGTTTTTCCTTCTCTGCAGCAGCTGATGTTTTCTGGAGCCTTGATGGATTGAGGGGTGGGTGAAGAGTCCCCTGAGCAATCGTCCCAGTGCTTGTAGGGGCTTCACAGGGGCTCTCCGTGTGCTGTCTCGTCACTTGGGGTTCTCATCACCCCCGTGCTCTTAGGAAATAGACTCCCGAGATATTCTGAACATATCTGAATTCTGAGGTGCAAAAGGCTAATAGGATATCACTCAAAGTACTGTTTTATTAAATGAATACAGAATAATAGTAGCAGTCGAATCTGTACTCTCAGATCTCACTATCTGTAGGGCTACTTGGCTGTTGTTTTCAAATGTATCTGATGTTTAGGGTATTATTGAGAGCACTGAGTCTCAAGTTTTTTGGTCTTAGGATGCTTTGCACTCTAATTATTGAGGACCCCAGAAAGCTTTTTGTTTGGAAGGGGTGTGTGTGTGTATGTATCACATAAAAACTTAAAACTGAGGAATTTTTAAAAATTATTAATTCACTAAAAATAATAAACCCATTGCATGTCATTATAACAATTTTTATGAAAATAATTACATTTTCTAAAACAAACTTCAATAGTGAGAAGGGTAGCATTAAAAAAAGTATCACGGATCTTTTTAATGTCTCTCTTAAGAGAGACAGCTAGATTCTTATATATCTACTTCTGCTTTCAGTTTGTTGTGATGTGCTATTTTGGTTGGATTATATGAAGAAAATTCAGTCTCACAAAGACATGTAGTTGCAAAAAAGAGGAGGTTTTGCTTTGTTTTGTTTTGCGAGACATGGGCTGGAGTGCAGTGGTATGGTCATAGCTCATTGCAGCCTCAAACTCCTGGACTCAAGTGATCCTCCTGCCTCAGCCTAAGTAGCTAGGACTGTAGGCACGTGCCACCATGCCTGGCTAATTTTTAAAAATGTTTTGTAGAGATGACATTTTGCTATGTTGTGCAGACTGGGTATCAAACTCCTAGGCTCAAGAGATCCCAACAAAATGTTGGGATGACAGACGTGAGCCACAGCACCCAGCAAAAAAGAAGAGTATTTGCAATAGCCCTTTAACATAATTGTGACTGTTCTTCTTTTCACTACACCCAAGCTCAACAAGTATGGCTTTTTATTTATTTTTATTTTAAAGATGTGGGGTATAATTCAGGGTTAGGTATATAAATGTTCATTATGCAGGTACTTTTGTTGATGAGGTTTGCCTGTCTCTCCTCTGGCAGTTTCCCACTACTGCCGAGCTGCCACCCCCTCCCCTGGCAGTTTCCAACCACTGCTAATTCCCTTTTTTTTTTTGAGTTGGAGTCTCACTCTGTCGCCCAGACTGGAGTGCAGTGGCCGCTCCCGGCCACTGCAGTCTCGACCTGCTGGGCTTCGGTGATCCTTCCGCCTCAGCCTTCCGAGGAGCAGGAATTACAGGCATGCGCTACCATGCTCGGCTGATTTTTTGATTTATTGTAGAGATGAGGTCTCGCCAAGTTGCCCTGGCGGGTCTCGAACCCGCGGGCTCAGGCAATCCACTCACCTCAGCCTCCCAAAGCGTGGGATTACAGGCTGAGCCACCGAGCCCGGCTTAATTCCTTTCTTATAGTATTATGATAATTGTTCAAGGTCCACTTATGAGTGAGAACATGTGGTACTCAGTTCTTTGTTTCTGCGATGAATCACTCAGTGTTACAGGCTGTAAGTCCATCTGGGTTGCTGTGAAGTTCATAATTTTGTCCTTCTTTATGGCTGTGTAGTAGTCTATCATGTATATGTACCACATTTTTTTTAATCCAGTCCTCTTTTGATGGGTAGCATGGTTGGTACCATGTTTTTGCTGTTGTGAATAATGCTGCAGTAAACATGCATGTGCGGGTATCTTTTTCACAGAGTGATTTGAGTTCCTCTGGGTATATTCCCAGAAGGGGGATTGTGGGGTCATATGGAAGGTCGGTTTTTAGATCTTTGAGGAATCGTCAAACAAATCGTTTTCCACAGAAGTTGTATTGGTTTACCCTCCCACCAACAGTGTAGAATGTTCCCTTTTCGCTGCATCCTCTCCAGTATCTGTTGTTTTTGAGTTATTGATGATGGCCATCCTGACTGGAGTTAGGTGGTATCTCAGTGTAGTTTTAATTTGCATTTTTCTTATGACCAGTGAGGCTGAGCATTTTTTCATGTTATCTGTTGGCTGCTGGTATGTCTTCTTTTGAGAAGTGTCTGTTCATATCTTTTGCCCACTTTGTAATGGGGCTGTTTGTTTTTTTCTTTTCGGCACGTTCGAGTTCCTTGTAGATCCTAGATGTTAGGCCTTTGTCAGACATACAGTTGACAAATATTTTTTCTCAGCCTGTGGGCTGTCTACCTGCTCTCTTGATGGTTTCTTTGGCTTTGCAGAAGCTTGTCAGTTTGATGAGGTCCCACTTGTCTATCTTATCTCTTATGCCATGGGCACTTGGGGTTTTGATCAGGAATTGGTTGCCAGTTCCAATTTCCATAAGGGTGTCTCCTGCATTTGCTAAGGTTCTTATAGTTTGAGGTTTTACGTTGAGGTCTTTGATCCATTTCGAGTTGATTTTTGTGTATGGTGATAGGTAGGGGTCTTGTTTTAATCTTCTGCATATGGTCAGCCAGTTTTCCCTGCACCATTTACTGAATAGGTTCTCCTTCCCCAGTGGTTGATGGTGGAGGATTTGTCGAAGATGAGTTGGTTAAGAAATTGAGGTTTTGCTTTTGGAATCTCTGTCCTGTTCCGTTGGTCTATATTGTCTGTTGTACCAGTACCAGGCTGTTTTGATTATTGTAGCCTTATGATAAAGTTTAAAGATTGGGAGTGTGATTCCCCCTGCTTTGTATTTTTTTGCTGAGGATTGTTTTGGCTGTTCATGATCATTTGTTTCCATATGAATTCCTGTATTGACGTTTCCAGGTCTGAGAAGAATACTGCTGGTAAGTTGATGGGTATTGTGTTAAATTTGTAGATTGCCTTGGGTAGGATGGACATCTTAACAATGTTCATTTTTCCATTCCATGATCATGGAATATTTTTCCATTTGTTTATGTCATCTTTGGCTTCTTTGAGCAGTGTTTTGTAGTTTTCATTGTAAAGGTTAGGAAGATGGCAAGATAGTTCTTTTTTGGGGGGTGGCTATTTTAAGTGGAATTGTGCTTTTTATTTGGGTTTCTTTTTGTCTGTTGTTGGTGTATAGTAATGCGACTGTCTTTTGCACATTTATTTTCTATCCTGAGACTTTACCAAAGTCCTTTATCAGTGCAAGGAGGTTTCTGACAGATTCTCTTGGGTTTTTGAGCTATAGATCATGTTGTCTGCAAAGAGGGATAACTTAACTTCCTCTTTTCCTATTTGGATACCCCTGATTTCCTTCTCTGCTCTAGCTAGGACTTCCAATACTATGTTGAACAGGAGGGTGAGAGTGGGCATCCTTGTCTTGTTCCGGTTTTCGGGGGAAATAGTTCCAATTTCTGTCTGTTTAGCAGTATGTTGGCTGTGGGTTTCTTGTGGATGACTCTTACTATTTTGAGGTATGTTCCATCTGTGCCTAGCTATTCAAGAGCTTTTATCAAGAAG